TAAATTTTTGTCGGGAAAATTTCTCATTATATAGCTGGGTATTTTCAAAAAACGATCGCTAAACGGAAATTGCTTATTTCTTTTTATGCGAAATTTACGATGGTTTATGGTATTGAACGCACAAGTAAGCGTGAAGAAACAACCGTTCATGCAGTTAACCTAATTACTTTAAATTTGGCTCGCCTGATGACTTCCAGCCCGGGTTGTTTTTATACGTTTTTGCTGCATATTAAGCATGGAAGCTTTCAAAAAACATGCATCTGGCAGGAAAGCGATCTCGGGAACAGACAAGATGGAAATTTGAAATATTAAGGAGATGTTCCCTGTCATGCACAACTTAAAAATTCAGCCGCCAGCTATGTGTGGTATAGCCCGTAAGTGAATTACGAGCATGTAAAAAATTTTGCGAGGGAATTGTAACTCAAAGAACAAAAAAACTGGAAAACTGAAATTTTAAGGTGATGTTCGTTAGTCCAAATAAAACTTAAAGATTTCAAATTCAGCTTGCAGCTTTTCTGATTTTCGATTTAGCAATTCCCTCTCCCAAACCTTCACATGCCTGTCATTCCTGCGTATTTGATTCCTGGGCTCCTCGATCCATAAACTTGCAAGCATCACTTATAATCCTTCGGTATTTTACCGTCTGAACGGTGCCTAGAAATGACGGCATTCGGGACGAGATAGGGATACTCGACAAACACTGACGATATCGCTTCATTCGGGAGACCACTGAGTTAGCAGTTCTTTCAAGAGACAAAACAAGAACTGTCAGAATTGCCAACGAGCTGACCACCACACGATGCAGCACTGGTCAAAGCATCCAAAAAAGTTGTGTAGCTGGTGAAACACGTCACCAATGTCTCTGACCAAGTATTAGCGTGTGAGTTCAGCCAGTATTAACGTACGTTCTGCCGGGCGAGACTGTTTTACCAAATTTGCAGTACACTGAGCTAATTAGCTAATTGCATTTCGAATTGTCGATAACTGCTAATCGTGGAATGCCATTTTCTCAGAGTTTGACAAGGTTGCTCCACTCAGAAAACATTTTTATTGCATTTCAGGATGTTTTATAAACTACTGATCATAGGGTCAGTTGTGGTGGCAGTCAATTCGTTGAGGTGTGTCTTCGGTGGACAGGGCACCGTGAATGGGCAAACTGGCGCCTCAACGGACACTAACGTCACCTGCCGATCATCCACGAAGTTTTGTGTGAAACTTGAATCCGACACCACACTTAATGGAGGTGGTTTCCAATAATAGCAGAATGAACTTAACGAAAGAGTACTGTCAGTTTGGGCGTCTGTTTTTGGTCATTTTTCTTCAACAGAGGAAGGCGGTAGGGTGTAGAGAATTTTTAGCATCTTCCTAGAAGTATGCGTGAGAAAAATTTTCGC